GCCATGCTTCAATGATAACGCGCTCTTAGTTCTGTAGGATACGGACCGTTAAGTATCCATTCTCTTTTCGACATAATGCTTGGCGCAAATGGATGACGTAGCATGAATTTCAAAAGAGCTGCACTATCTCTCGTAGAGATACCGCAAGGTCTAGAGAACGTTGACGGTCCTTTACGTCATTAGTCTATTGCTGTCTTCACAATAATCGACTGATGGTCGAGTCATGGTGATCCAACATTTGTCCAACATTGTGAAATACAAACTTTCATCAATGCAATGGCTGCTTTCCGCAACATGGTTTTCCTGACCTGATTTTCTGACTCCGTAGGGCTGTTAAGTGTTGCATTGGCAGCTTTCATTGGTATGTATGGAGGACAGAATACGTCAAAATTTTCATTTCACTTTCATATAATATATCTATTTACGTAATGAATTTCTCTTCAGCACATAACCATTCTGGTATTGCGATACTTTTATATCTGTGCATACTTTTAAGTAAAACAAATGAAAATGTATAAAGACAAAAACATTAAAACAACAAGTATAGATTTTCAGAACATGATGGATAATAATAAGTAGCCTTGCCAAAGAACACACTGGCCTTACACTTATTGCCATCTTTGGTAGAACAAATTTATCTACTTTAAATACATTTTCCAGTCGATGACCGTATATACAAAACACAATAAAGACTGTATACTGATTTGCTGGCGAGACATAATGTGATTTTAGCATGATTTTAGGCTGTACATTACCGCACTAGAATACTAATCAACTAACAACAGACATGGGTCGCAACAGCTTCAGAAACAGGGATTGGAGTATGTGTGTGTGTTAAAAAAACAAGGGTTAATTTGATTCGTACGGTCTTTGAGTCAGAATTGATCCAACGCAAGAAAATCTGGCACGTCTTCCGGCAGACGAACAGCATCAACGCTGATGAAATCACGTGAACCCCACACAGTAGTAGCAGTAAGGGAAGCTAGCACCGTACAGTGCTGAAGATATTGTTGGATAATGTGTCAGTCTTGGAGCGATGGTATCGAAACCTTCGTGAGACGCTCCTGATACTCACACCCTCTTGAATTAACACGTTCTCGGGGTTCAGGGTACTGGCCACAGCGTTTTAAAGGTCATTTTTTTATAACCCATGTCTGCATAAAATTGTGATAAACATTTTGTCAAAGTTTTGTATTCGACCCATTTTGCGTTGACGAGATCGTGGAAACATTCTCGTTCATTATCATCGCTATCTAATGTTGCTACATTCTGAATTGTCAAAGTAAAATGTAAATCTCAAACGAAATGTACAATCATCAATTATAAAATTTGCGCGTTTTCATTGCGTCTTTAAATATTTAGGATCTCGATTGTCGAAAACATAATTATATCTTTAGATTAAGAATTCACAAAAAAGACATCAAAACTAACAACGTTATTATATGTATATTATACTGAACTCGAATTTTGTCATATGGTTTGGATTGTTCGTACTTTTGGTTTTATTTTATTGTCCTTTCTTCCACGGGTTAAATCCATATTTTTTTTAATGAATTTTATTATCATTTATTTTTTCCTCGTGCTTGCATAAAGTCTTAGCATTTTGGACAACAGTTTACCCAAACCAAAAACATCCTCTTCTTTACTGCCACTCTCTGATGTTGTTTCATTGACAGTTAGTATGACGGAAATAATTTCCTGAAAAATAATTATATGACGTGTCAGTATTCAAAAACATCTAGACGAGACGGTTTCACATGGATGTGTGTCAAAATAAAGTGAAAACGATTATGATGTAAAATATTTATTACTTAAGAATTAGATAAAGAGTTAAACGTTCTTGCTATAATAATAGTTCAAAGATAGATAATTAAAAATGAATTTCATTCAAATTACTTTATTCTGAGCGAAGTTATGAATGCCTGGAGATGTATTTATTATCGTAGCAACGGTATTTGAAAATTGAGATTAACTCGTCATTTTATCGTTAAACTTTTAAATCTTGCGGAAGTTCTAATCCATTTAAATCTCGGTCATCCAGATGTTCTAACTGGTTGATTATACTATAAGCTTGTCATGCGAATAGATTAAATAATAGTTTATATAACATTTAAAGTAAAAATTTAAACCTGCAATAGGCAGATTCAGTTTTTACATAATGCATCTTTAATTAAATTAAATTACGAAATGAAATAATGTCTGACTCCTACTTTTTTTCTCCAAAAACCGGGCTATTGAAAAGTGGTCTACTCTTATGTCGAATTTGAACTGTCAAATGTGTTTTTCTTCCTACCCGAACTACTAGACACGCTTCATGGTCTACACCACTGACAGAGTTAAACCGCACCAGAAAATCCCGAAGAAATTTCTCAATCGAACCAAGGACCTCCGGTTAGCAAGCCGGCGCCGTACACACGATAAATTACAATTTCATTTATTTATTTTTTTATTTTTAGTCTGTATTTTAATCTTAACCCACGTTCTACTACAACCTTCTTATGCTTTGTACATGTAAAAACCAATCATACTCTTATCACTAAACCCATCCGATTCTGTCGTTAAAATAGGGTTATAACAGAAAATGCGCTATTCATCGAATATTTGGACCCTTCTGTAAATTAGTTTTTACTTACCCCTTTGTCCAGTAAAATCAGAACAAATTCGTCTGATATGGTTCCATACACCACACTTTCGCTATGTAAAGCAGCAATACTTTTTATTAGTTCACTTGTAATAAATAACATCCTCTCAGCAGTAAAGGTGTATGATGGTGAACTCATGTAGGTTTTAAGCGACACGTGATTGTTGTCAGATGCCGACTCATTTTGTCGTGAACGTAATCTTTTACCAATTCTTTCAGCAGACTGTAAAAAATCTTTCAAGGCAAAACATAGGTTTAAAGAAATAGATATAAGAATATTTCAAGTAACTTACAAGGGCCAATCCCGATTATATTTTGGAGAATACAACTGCTTAATTCTGTGTTAAAATTTCTTAAAATCCTCTACCTTAGGGCAGAGCAGTTAACTCAATACATGTGATAAACGTTTTCAAACAACTTAAACCCGTCAGTCTTCATCTGGAAATGGAGACCGGTGTCCCAATCCCTTATTATGTGGTGTCTGGATAAAACAAGACTTTATTTTATGAAAATAATGTGTAGGTGAAATTTACCTTTTGTTATCAAGTACAGCACATGGGTCATTCACTGTATAGACCTCTAAAGGAATGGGAATCGATTATCAGGTCACCCAACGAAACAAAAAGAACCGAAATCTTAGGGTTAAGTGTCTTGATAAGCAGTTTTGACGTTCACGTCCAAACGGCACAATATTTTGAGTTGAAATTTTGAGAGAGAGAGGGGGGGGGAGAGAGCGAGGGAGAGAGAGAGAGAGAGAGAGAGAGAGAGAGAGAGAGAGAGATGGGGTTTAACGTCCAATCGACACAAATTAGGTCATTTCAGGACTTACATATGGTTTAATTTTATTTCAATAATTCGCTTGTGCGTAGGGGTCTTTAGCAGTGGAAGAAAACCGGAAGACCCAGAGAAAACCCACGAGGTTGGACAGGCGACCCTACTCCTTGACACGTACAGCTGGGGGCTTGAAACAACGCCAGTTGACTCAATGACAGAATTTATGATACAGCACACCATTCCTCTATATTTTGGCGCTTAAAGTTCATACGTGCTCGGACTTTTATTTTTGAGAATCTGTTTAAATCGGGATAGTCCCTTTCGTTGTTGATTAAAATGTGTGTTATTTTGAAAATATTATCAAAATTAGATTATAATTTCGTTATGTCTATTTTTACATATTTGTGATATGACAAATAGTCATGGACACTTGATAGGCTTTGAGAGTATGTTCACAGATGAAGAACTTATCGCCCCATCAGAACCACTGAGCTGCATGTGCAACACGCAATAGCGCCATACACGTGGGAGGGGTTCACTGTCAAATTTGACACTCCAAGGAAGGGTTTATTAAAACTGGCGCGTGCTGGTTTATCCTATCCATGTTTGCTTTCCTATCGTTTCTTGCATAAGACTTACTGTTTAGCGTATCTTTGCTTTAGTGTGTTACGTTTAATTTGCAATGAGGCGTCTTCAACATGCTTCAAATGGGTTCTACACAGCGAGCAGTAACCAACATTCTTAATGTGTCACAGTCTGTGATCAGCAGACTGTGGAACCGGTACCAACAAACACACAATGTTGATGATAGACCTCGTTCAGGTCTTCCTAGAGTCACTACACAAGCCCAGGATCGATACATTCGTACACAGGTCCTGCAAAATCGAGGACAAACGGCCAAACAGCTTTCTGTAAACTTGTACCAAGTTACAGGAATTCGAGTTACACCCCAAACGATTAGAAATCGGCTACATGCAGCCCATTTGCATGCGCGACGACCACGTGTTGTGCCTCCATTAATTCGCCAGTACATGGCAAACAGGCGTCAGTGGTGTAGGCAGCGCAAAAATTGGGGTAATCGTCGATGGGCGCGTGTAATGTTATCGTGGACCACCATTATTGGGGCTATTCTTTCTCAAGATAAGTAACTTTCTTAAATTGCATTTCAGTATGGACAATGTCTTTGGTGTACATCTTTATTTCAAACATTCATATTTACCTAAGGCAGTCACTTCGTTTATCTTGATGCTGGGTGTTGTAATTTGTTCTGCGTTTGGGTGTTTTCTTCCCTGAAATAAATTTAAGAATATAAGTGTAGGCTTTTAAAAACTAAGGAAATATTGACTCCTATTATTGGTTTTCAAAGGAGGAGTTCGAGATTATGAGGTAAACTTACTCAAGCTGGACTCGAACGTTTTATTTAGATAATAATTTAAAAGTTTGAGTTAAATGCTAGATTACATAATCCGACCCCAATATTAGTAGATACAAAGCAAACATATTAACACAACACAGTGTTTATAGGGAAACATCTATAATTTAAGATCCTAAGTGTACATCTGTCTCTTATGTGTAGAAAAAATTATCATACGTAATGCTTATAATAAGCTGAAGCTGTATATATGACTGGATTTAGAGTAGAATTTACAGGCAATATGAAAACAGCAGCCCAAGCGTAAACCTCACTATCAATAGAAACACCACCAAGAGACACCAAACCTGAAAAAAACCCAAACATACGCAACTTAAAAGCAGACCGTATCATCTAAATTGCACGCGTTAAACCACCCAATACCCCTATAGTTAAAGTTGAAACGCAATTTCGTTAAGCTGCTACCTGTGACTAGTTGGACTTTTGTATCTGGTTTGAAAGGAAACATTGTCACTAACTCTAGCATTTACAACGCTTACACGGCTTAGGTGTATTGATGTGCTGATGTGCGACCCTGAAATTCGATAGCCACATCACAATTTAAAATCTAAATGGACTTTAGATAACTACTCGTTAGAACATTTGGAACCAAAAGACACCAGTAAAGTCACCAACCCAGTGGTTTACGTACTAAACAAACCAACACATTTGAGCAAATAGTACTGTTGATCAGAACTATTAGAATTTTTGCTTCATTCTTTTTGATGGAAGAGTAAAGATAGCGCCAGCATGTTTTGTTAATCTGCGGCTCAAAGTATATCCTATTGATGATCCCAATTAATAGCAGTAACACATGCTATTCACTGCCTGATTGATACGATCTTAATGCTGAACCCATCCCTATTGTTGTGTTACGGATTTTCAGTACATCTGCGAAAATGTGAGCCTACAAAAAGGAAAACTTACCCATGCAACAAATTGAGAACCAACAGACACACTCTGTGACGATAACAAAAAACAATGTTCTAGCTATTTGTAAATCTCGTGCTTGCCTTTCCTTACTTTGAAGACAAGAACCAGACTGAACAACGGATTTGTACATAATAGCTTGACCAATACATATCAGCAGAAATATCAAAAAGTTGAAAATCACAAAAACGGCCGTGAAAAACTGCCACCCAGGTGTCCTGTCAGGCATTAACGGCAATGACAAGCAGATACCTGTAAGAATATTTGATACCATACTCATTAATTTAAAGAAATATAAGATTATTGGGTCTATAGGCTTGATACATGCAAAGACTATCAGCAAAAAGAATAAATAGAATACATCATTACATGCTTAAACTATCAGTAGAGTGGGACATGTCATCAATGTATGCCACCAGATAACAGTATGAATAAAAGGGTGTAGACATACATGAAGTGCACCTCTAACCACCCCAAACCATTTTTGCTAATATGACACACAATAGCTAGTAATGAGTATATACAACTGAATAGTTTATATGGAAAATTGAAACAACCCACCTGTTTTGCTGTACAAAAAACCTGTAAATCCTGTACCAGGTAAAATGGGAACCAGGGCGATTACAAGAGAAACTAACCAAACACAAGAGATCGATGTTCTACGCATTCGTGGTGAAAGCCTGGCTTGTACTAGAGGGTACTTTATTATGAGAAATCTGTCAAGAGTTATCAGACATAGGAAAAGAGCCGATGCTTCTCTAGAGAGAGTAGCCAAAGCTCCGAGAACCTGACAATAGGTACTATTTCTCCACCATTTATCAACATATATGTAGTTTCCTTGAAACATGGCATCCACAACGCCAATAGTTATCATGTATATTCCCATTACAAAGTCAGAAATTCCTAAATGTGTAATGTAGAGTCCACTGCTGGATGTAAGCATCTCCTGGTCCCAAACGATGCGGTGAAAAACAGTACCAAAGTTTCCTATTAAAGCACAAACACCGATCACCCACATACAGATTCTCAACACTTCTCGTCGCATCAAATTGTCACATGATGAAAATGTTCCTCGTTTAGGATAACAGTTGTCATCTGTCACTGAATCGGGTTTTAAGCAACAAAAGATAAATGAATCACTATGAACAGTTTTCAGATTAGTTAAATTTTGAAATATTCCTCTCGAAAATGATTCTATATTCTGTTCTCTGAGATCCAAGTTTTGTAAGTTTTCAAGTGAAGCAAATGCATGATCGTGAATAGTATGTAATATACCGACATTAATTGACAAGGCAGTCAATGAACCAAGTCCTTGGAAAGTATATGATTCTAAATTACGTACTTTGATACGGGAGATTACCAGACTGGGGAGGCTTGTTAATCCTTCAAACGTTCCCGGTTCTATTTCTCTAAGTAGTTCATTACCCTGGAGTTTTAGATTCTGTAATCTGTTTAAACCACGAAATGTACCACGATATAGAATAGTAATATTATTGAAACTTAAATCAAGGGAAAGAAGGTTCTTCTGATTGATAAATTTTTCTACCGGAATATATGAAATTTCACAGCTGCTGAAACTAAGTTCTCGTAGCAACGACAGATTTTTAAAATTAACCCTTTCTAAATCAATTATATTATTGTCTAAAATTAATTTCTTTGTAATAGCTGACATTTTCATAATATTTTCATGAACGCGTGATCCTCTGCATTTGGCCATAGCCCCCTGGCATGTACACGACTCGGGACAAACAAAATCACAATTTAATTCGTCGTCACCTTGAGGACAATCTTCAACCGTGTCACAAACTTGCTGGTGTTCAATACATACGTCATTATATGGCATTGGCTTACATCTAAAGAAACCCGCACAAACGTCTATTCCTGAAAAGGAAGATTGTTTTATAAATATTACATATTATCGCAGTAAGATAATTTATTTATCTTAACCAATTCCCATTGGCAACCATACTGATTCCTACCTGACTAAGATAAACATTACGATGATTCACTTAAACATTGACTACATGTAGATAGCAAATTATATGTTTATTAAATTAAACTATATGGTAAAATAGCAGGGTACAGGTACAGATAAAATATAAAACATTTAAAAAAATGGTAAATGAGATATTCACATGAAGGCTATTCGGAACAATTCTGTTTTTAGATTCTTTTTGAAAACACCGAAACTTGAACTGGTTCTTGTTTTAAAGGACATGATGTTCCAAAGTTTCGGTGCTGCTGCCGAAAAGGAGCGTTTAGCCTGGAGTGTTTTACTTTTTGGTATTTCAAGAGCGAAGTTGACGTAAGTGTTTATAGTTAAGAAGATCTTTGCGCTATACTAAGCAGCAAAAGAAACGTCAGGTTGGTATGTTACTCTGAATAGACGCATTGCATAAAACTCGCCAAATGTTTTTATTGTATATTTGTGACCACATCACAAACTTTACCGGGGCAATAAGGCTCCTTCCGAAACACAGATCTGAACCCAGGAAATGTTCCCAAAAACGGAACCTGACTTCTGAGATGCTAATGTGTTCTCCATGATTTTCTAATAACACTCGCTACACGTGCTGTTCACTGGGACCAGCCCTATAAAATGCACCCTATACCTGGCTGAATCATTCACACTTCAACGTCAGCAGCATGCCACGACTCACAACAGCTCAGGAACCAGGCGCTTGGAAGACTCGACGCTGGCCACACTGGCCACGCCGTTGCCAATCACTTCAATGTTCGGATCATCAACAGGCTTCAGCAACGCTTTCGGGTCACCAACACCACGGATGATCGCCCCCGAACCAGTAGACTAAGGTTTACCACAAGGCGAAAAGACCGCAATGTTGTGCGACAGCACGTGCAGAATCCCTTCACACAGGCATCTGAGACAGCACGTCAGGTAATGGGAACACATGGAAGACCTATCAGTACCAATACAGTGCGCCGACGTCTCACCAGAGAGAACATCCATCCTCACCCCTGGACATCGACGTAAACGTCTACAGTTTGCCCAACAACACCAGAACTGGCGACACAGGCAATGGAGAACTGTTATGTTCACAGATGAGAGTCGGTATTGCGTATCAACTGCAGATGCCAGGACCAGAATATGGCGTCGATGTGGCCAGCGTTATTCTGACCAATGTGTCATGGAACGTGATTCATGGGGTGGTCCAAGCATAATTGTTTGGAGTGGAATCGGCCTGAACCAGAGAGTGGATCCTGTGGTGTTCCAAAATCTTGGTACAGGGAGAGGAGCCAGCATCACAACAGTGTGCTACATCGATCAAGCTCTCAGACACCACGTCATATCACATGTCACACGTCATCGAAACAACGTTTTCCAGCATGACAACGCCTGTGCCCACACTGCCAGAGTTACTCGGGACTTTCTATGCTGGCTATCCCTTAGTCCAGACTTAAACCCGATTGAACATCTTTGGGGTGAAATTCAGAGGAGACTTAATAACGTCGTACCGAGACCAAACACAGCCGAGGATTGCGCCAGGCTTTTCTGAGAGTGTGGTTCCTGGTTCCAATGGCGTTCATCAATCGTCTGGTCCACTCCATGTACAGTCGCTGCGCTACTGTTTTTGAAACACACCAGATACTGATGTATAGACTGTGTACAGACTCGAAACCTTCTGGTATTGTCTTGGAATTGTGATAAATTAATCACTAATGTGTCAACATACTGTTCACAAAAAATTGCTTTGATCCAATTAGTAAGTCGTTTTCTAGAATGATTTGATTAAAGTGCCTCTCTGATTTTGAAATCCTACTGATGGGGGAACGATAAGGTGTTAGTGAAAAGAGACGGGCAACTTTATTCTGAATAGGTTTGAGAGGGTATAAGCTTTTTGCGGGAAGACCAACAAGTAATGAGTTACAATAATCGCGTCTGGGTGTAATTTAAAGGTTTCAAAATTAATAGAAGGACGGATTCTACCAATGTTGTACGGGTGAAAATTGTACGATTTACAAAATAGTGTGTATTTTAAAAGAAATAAAATTCATCTTCGTATCCATTGTAAATATAATGGCCTAAATGCAAAGGAGAAAAATGATCTATGAGTGGGGTTCGGAAAACGTTAATCAGGCTTCTTTCGGGGAAAAGCATCGGGATTATCCGTGTCCTACCCCACACCATACTGTATGGCATATATCCGTCTTCATTAGCTCGGGCCCGGATTAAAGATAAGTGCTCGGCGTTGGCTGGTATGAAACCAGGGTCCCCGATATGGAAGGGGTTGCAAATTATTTCCAAAAACAAATTTGGTACCATGAATAATTATGTCATCTATTATGTTGTATATGTTTTCGCCAAATCTATCACCGAAACTGGCCTGCAGTTGTTTGTGTGTGAAGACCAATGATCAGGATATGTTCATGCAAGCTTAATACGAGTCGGTACTGTCCAGTAGGACGTCAAACCCCATTTCATTTCGTTTCCTGGTTATGCCACGTATTCTTCACCGGTTGATCCGAGGCACAGAGCTACCCAGTTCGCCCCTGAATTCAGTACATACCTATTGGCTTTGTCACATTGGTCTTTTCCTTTGGATATATATATGCAGAGCTGAGACATCCTAGGCCTTCGTCATCTTGTTTTAAACAATTCCATCTACCATCACAAATAAGTGAAACGTGTATGCAGTGGCTATCCCTACACTTATAATAATTAGCAGGACAAATAAAATCGCCTGAAAATAAGAAGATATCAATTTACATCCATACATCAACTGTGTAAAATTTGTATAAAGTGACCGTATCACCTTTCCTTTTCCTTTAAATATTTGTGTTGTGTTTAGCATTTATTGTGTACAATAGTTTTATCTTCATAATAAAGTAACTTCACTTAAAAACCCAAACTTGTAATATCCGAAAGAATGGGGAAATAATTGTGCATTGTCGGTAAAAGGAACCGAGATTTTTGGGTTATGAACATACATTTCAAGTTTCGTCAAAATCGGATGCTAAAACTTGTGACCTCTAGAGGGCCCACAATCTTCGTATAACATACTTTTATCGATTTGCGTACAAAGAGCGGCCATTTTGCTGAGCAGTTTCATTTCAATTTTCCCGAAATTCTAATTCAACCTTCACTATGGTGGAATGGTGATATATTTAAACGGTTTTTAAAATCGGGAAAAAATTGTGACTTCTAGAGAATCCGCAAGCTAAATATGCGATTTGTCGAACAATCAGGGGTCATTATCCAGGAAGTTATGTTCGGATATGCGCGATTATCAAAAAGAACCAAGATCTTAGTGTGTAACGGTGATATATTCACGTTTTTTTTTAAATCGGATAAAAATTTGACATCCAAATTTTGTACAATCAATATGCGCAAACATCGACAGGAACCAAGATATGTGGGGTATAAACATGCATTCCAAGTTTCATCAAAATCAGATGAAACTTTTGACCTCTAGAGTGTCCACAAGCTAAAAACGTGATTTTCCGTAGAATCAAGGGCAAATCTATGAAGATTCGATCCGATACATGTACATATCGAAAGCAACCGAGATCCTTTGGAGATAAACCTATACAAGTATTTTAAGTTTCGTTAAAAATCGGATAAGAATTGTGACCTGTAGAGTGTCTACAAACAAATTGTGGACGAACAGACGTCCGGACAGACAGGGGCGACAATAATATACGTCCACGTGAGAATGTGTGGGCGTATAAAAAAAGAAAATAGTCAGGGTATGAATTCACTGCATTTGAGCCTTAATACTAGGTTCTCACAATCACGATTCGCGATACAATTGAAATAGCGGGGTATTTGTGGTGATCACAACGAAACGTTTCGTGACGTATCTGCACATACCAGAGCGTGGACTCATTAGGGACAATCCTATCGTAACGTATCGCACGACAGTGGGAACCTAACTTTACGGATCCCTCGAGACGCGTCAACCACAAACTTCTCCTACAGCAGGAGACCTCTACAGCAGGCACCAAACAATCCATATTTCTATACATAAGCCGGGCAAAATAAATTGAGAAGTGTGTGGTGAATACGCACTTAGTTCTTTATGGGCCTGTCACACTATAATGTTTTAGACAACTTATTCTGACGTATAAAATAATTATCCAACTCGCTGGCATATGCTGAAGCTAAATTTAAAAATCAAGAAGACACTCTTTTTGGACGCATATATAACGTACTTCTAACGCGCTGACCGAATATATAACCTATGTTTAACACATGAATAACTTATTCATAACTTATCCCCAACGTAAACATAACTTATACAAGTATATGACAGCGTGTGCCCAACGAATTTTTAGCGTTCTTGACTTATGCGGAACTCATGCACAACTTTAGTCTAGCGTATGCCTAACTTATGCATAACGTGTTGGAGCGTACTTCGACAACCACGTGGGGTCAGATATAAAAGCTGAGGCTCACTAGAACTACAAGCCATTATATTGGACTGTCACACATTGGCGTATAGCATCAGCGTATGGCAACGTATGGGAAATTTAGCGAACACGCCGGTGTACGTTGAATAC